ATTTAATTTGGAAACACCCTGTATATATATATTTAAATAAAATATTTATATATTATTTATAATGCTTTAGAACACTTAAAAAATTCAATATTTTTATTAATATTTTTTATATATTTTAAATATTTATGTTTTAAATCAATATGTCTCGCTACAATTGTTTGTATTGAATAGTTTCTGTAATAAAATATTAATAAATAGGCAATGAGAGCATTAATACAGCGCGGTACTTGGAGCGCAATACATATAACATATTCTCAATAATTTTACATCACGTATTTATACGTAATGTAAAATTATTCTATGTTAGACAAAGGATGAACATACTTCCTAGTTGGGTATGCCTATCTTCTGTCTAACATAGAAACTATTTCTAACATCTACGGACTATAAATATTGCAAAGATTTTGTATGGTAAATTATATGGCATTGCTGATGATGGTTTGAAGGAAATCGAAACATTCAAGAAGTTTTCAGAGATACGTAATGTAAAATTATTGAGAATATATTATATGTATTGCGCTCCACGCTATAGGTCTTAATGCTCTCATTGACAGTTTATTAATATCTTATTGGTTATTTTTCGAGAACCCTATTAAATATAATGTTTTTTTAGTTTTTATGATATATATATGTTTTTAAATTTTAATATTTAATACTCTGATAAGTAACTTATAACGTATCTTTTAAATGTATTTATCATTTTTAGATAAATTTAACTGTATATATTTACATAAATTTTGAAAATTGACTAACACAATTTATAAGTCTCAAAAAAACTGACCGAATTCTTTTAAAAATAAATGTAACGGGCGCGTTATTTCATTATGAGAGTTTAATTTCAATTATAATATATTTAATTATAATATATAATAAACAATATTTTCAATTTAAAGTCGACTTTTATAATGTACTGTTTCACATTTGTATCAATGTCTAATATAAAACAATATGTAATAACCAAATACGACAGTCACCTCGAGGCTTGTGTACATCACTAACGTAGAACATCACTTTAACTAATTTAAAATTGAAAAGAAAACCGCAGTGCTATAAATTAGGAATTACAAGTTTATAGAGTACTAAATTTTTCTACAAAAGCAGCAATAAAACAAGCAAGTGGATAATAAAAACAAGACAATGTATAGCAGACCCTTCTTTATCTAAATATTCAAAAATTTGATTTCCCAAACAGAATGTGAGATACATTGGACGTAATAATTTGTAAGTGTTCATTGAACCTAAATCAAGAAAATTCATACGTTTTTTACATATAATCAAATCATTTCAGATCAAATAACTTTTATAGCTTTTTACAGAAATCTTGGAACAAATTATATATTCACGTCAAACATCTTCCAATTTTATATATATTATTAGCAACGTATATTATTAACAACGTGAATTGCAAAATTTATCAGGTTCTTAATAATATATAATTATAATAACACTTACGTCGTCTTTACACAATGGTAAATAATTCCTTATTAATCACTTCACTCGAAAAGTTACATGTATTAGAGTTATATGATATTAAGTATGATTGCCATTTTAAACTTGTAGCATAATCACTTTATCAATTATAGACCTAATTTAAATAATCATTTTCAATATAGGTTAAACATAAGAGAAAGAGCTCTGAAATTTTGGAAGAGACGCCAATTAAAAGACAACGTTATGACTTCAAATTGTTGATAGCAAATAGTACAAAAACATATATATTATTTTTGAAGTATTACGATTCACTGTTCATGACCTTAAATGACATTACAAGGTGGCTAAATTTAACAGATGTGAATATATCAAATAATAAAATTGATCTTTTGCCGAGAAAATTGGGCGCTTTGTATCTTCGACGGCTTAATTTATCACATAATTGTTTGAGACGATTTGGATGGACATGGCTAAAAGAAGCACGTATTAAGAGAACTTTACGTTTTCTAGATATAAGTAATAATTCTGTACGTCATTGTAAAATATTGCGACAATCATTAATCAAAGCAGTGTTGTCATAAATAACAATTAATAGCACTGCCATTATGAATATCATTAATTTATAGCTGCCCGAATTACCGGAATACATTTGGAATTTGAAGGCTTTAGTGGAATTGAAAATGAGTCACAACTTGTTGGGACGCTTACCACAAGGCATTGAAAATGTTCGAAATCTTAGTATTTTGGATTTGTCGTATAACAAGTTAATATATCTGCCAGCAGGGATCACTAACTTGCGACTGCAAACTATAGATATTACAATGAATCCATTAGTAGTCATCAGTCACCCAAAATGGGAATGTGAACTAATAATGCCAAGCCTTACTCAATTTGCAGCAAAAGCACTGCAGCGATATTGCAAGTACGTTGCTTTTTTCGACTTGATACTATATAACGTAATTTTAGCAAAAATTGAGTACATCGCACAAGTTCCTATTTCATAATGTATGTAATGAACTAAATCCATATTTTCGTAGAGAAAGAGATGTAATTTTCCGATTGAATGAATTGAATGAATATATAAATAGAAATACAATCGATAATTGCTTCTATTGCGGAAACATTTGTACAACTCCCTACGTATACGCAACGAGGCCATTGCAACCTATATTTGAAACAGCTGAAAAGGTAATAAGACAGACATCAGACATGCCAATAGTATTATATGAATTTTGCTATTGCTTTCCTGAATGTAAGGAGAATTATTAATAATCTAGTAACGAATCAGATATATCTCGAAATTGAGAAGACCGACATTTAAATTAACATTTATCCCGAAAAAATATATTGCTGAAATTTCTAATAAATGCCAATTACATTTATATTTAGATGTAATATATAATCCAGCAAGAACTTGACGTTGACAATTAACGAGCGTCTCCTTCCTTTTTTACATTAGGAAGTTTTTGCAATATCGTTTATCCAGATACGGTGAACGCTAAAATCAGGTTATCTTCTTCTTAACAACTAATCAAGAAAAGGATAACGTGACTTTAGCGTTCACGTTATTGCAAAAACTCCCTATTAAGAGGACTGACACATTCACAAGAATGTGATTCAAATAACCATATCCGGCAATAGGATAGCATTTAATTCATTCTCTTTTATAGCATATATCAATTATTATATGATATAACGCAACTGTCAATTGATTTGTGTGATAAGATAATTGATTAGCAGTTAAAGTTTTGTACTTGCAGTCAAATTCATTCTTGATATGAAACGTTTTATATCAATATGAGATGGCTGCGAAAGAACAACTTGGCAAATCAATGTCTTATTATAAAGTGCTTAAAATTTTATATACGTTGCAATCATATTAACTTTCCATTTAGTTGTCACTTTTTAAAAAATATTGTATGTGAGGACATGTTTTATATATAATTATATATAATTGTATATAAAATATGTTAATCTTATAAGTAATTTTATATAATTTTATATAATTATATATACTTGTTATATGAAACATGTTTCCCCGAGCCATAATGATATCGATTTGTTAAAGTAATAGATACTAAAATATAATTATCTGAGATTACAATTTCATCAAACTGAAATTTCATAATTATAAAAATATTTATGTAAATAATTTTATCTGTACTTGAATACATGGATCATAAATACCCTGCTCTTATACGTATAATTATATTAACTAGATATAACAAAATCAAGAGTATTTGAGCAATTAAAGGTACTCATCCAGTAAACAAGTATATATACTTAAATATGATTACTTTCGCGGTATAAAGAAGAATGGCATTTTTAAATATTAAATATGCTTTTCATAAATTACATATTTATTGATTTGTCATTCGATTCTATTATCGTCAATCTAACGTATAAGGCAATAAACAATGATTGAAGCATGACAATATAAGATATTGATCTTGACAAATGTAACGTTTATTATAATTTCGTTGAAAAGAATTTAAGACTGCAGTATTGTAAATTAATTATGAATCGGTAAGAAATTTCTTAAAAATAATTGTTTATAATAAATATTTTTTCAATATTTATATTATTATTAACAATTTAGAATATTTACAAAATTTATTAGTTTGCCAATCATAATTGTAATAATAAAATTGATTGTGAGATTATAATACATAATGCAGTATAATGACGAGTAATTTTATTTCTTGTTATTCAATTATTTATTTGAAAAGGTATATATTTGTACTGTATACATTATAAATATTTTATGCTTAAAACTTAACATATTCACATTCTTCGTGATTTTGTTCTTTGTTTGGTTTTATGCCGTGCTATGGCTGTACATGGGTGCGTTCCGAGTTACACATAAAGCGCATGATGTATCAATTTATCCTTCTACATTATTTAGTGAACAACGAGAACAATTGATGCATCGTGCGCTTCATGCATAAGAGCCGCGACGCAGACTTTTGCTTAACACATAATGCATAGTGCACTTTGCATTAATCCTTCACTGAATCCTTTCTTTCTTTCCACTTCACGGAAAAGAAGAACTTTAGCTGATTTTCTTATGCACTATGCGTTATGCGTTATGCAAAAGTCTGTGCTGCGGCTTTAATTCGGAACGCATCTATTGTCAATATACGTATTACCTCCAGAAATATTTGTTGTTATATATTTCGACATACACGGTTTGTGCACATAAAGGCGTCACTAAACGGAGATTTGTCTAAAACGCGGATACGTCCTTTCTACACAGTTGGAAAAAATGTGTTGAATTTAACATAAATCGTATGTCCCAAACGGTCCACTCAAATTTTTGAGTTACTGGCTGCGTTCAGCAGAAAAAGCAGCTTTGCAACTGTTGTAAAATTCTTCAATTACGATTGATTCTTGCTTTTAGTTCCTTACAGATCTAAATGTATAAACCAATCATATTGAAGAATTTTACAACAGTTGCAAAGCTGCTTTTTCTGCTGAACGCAGCTAATTTTACACAAGATGAATGTGTTAGAAGGTAACACAAATATTATGTAAGAGAATAAATATAAAGGAAGATAACATCGACACAGTTTGTAAACATACCGTAGGAACGTATTTTTTTTTTCAGAAGATTAACATTTATGATATGTTAAATTAACACATATTTCATTCATTTGTCTTAGAATTTACGTTTTAAAACACATTATTTTTATATTACTTTTTCACTTATTCATAAATTGTGTCATTTGGCACTAAGAAACATTGAATATCAATTTCATAAAAAATCTTTAAATAACATAATCACATTATATTAAAGTAACACTCGAATATGTTAAAAAATTCAACACAAACTGTTAACACAAACGTGAGTGGATCGTTTCTAACACAAATACATAAATTTTTTTACTGTGTACTCCACTCCAGCTGATTTCACTCTCAGGTTTCTTTCTGAATTAAACTGGAGTAAACCAGCCTGATATTTCTGACTAGAGGTAGTCGTGAAATAATAATCGATGATCGTTCTTGCTGTTTCTGTTACGTTGTTGAAATAAAGATGCAATTTTTCTGAAAAATTTCTAATTTATCCTCATATTTAAAATATAACTTTAACTGAGTTATTGTTTTCAACTGAAGTTTAGTTTTTATAACCACACATTAACAAAATTAAATATTACATAATCAGTAAACCAAATGCCATATGTGGTTAAATGCACAGAAATGCATTCAACGCAGCAAACGAGAACGGATTGGATTGGATAAATCCATATGAATCAAGTTTTTAAATCCGCGAAAAAGGTATTGAATTTATCGTTGCAAAACATTTTTCTTAAAACTTCGAAACTTTTGTCGTTCTCGGCATAAACTCCACCTTACAGACACATATTAATGCGTATACTTTAATTCTGGAAAAGGATTTTCGAATCTGTAAAAGAGGAAAAAAGTAATCGTTATACAAAAATTACGATTTAATCAGTAATACAGACGGCTTTAGGATCCCCTTAAAGTAAAAGCATAATGTATTTTTTCATTATACATTTAAATGGAATGGACGAAAAATGTCGGACCAATCACAAATCGGGGAAAAAGTGGTCAGAGAGAGAGGTTTGTTCGTGTCGCAAGCTCCAATATGCTTCGACAAGCTCCTACTCACTCTATCAAGGTTGCGTTCGGAAATATCACCCGAGTGTCCTCGTGTATCATTTTATCTTTATTTAACATTGGGTGAACAACAAGAATAAAATGATACACTGGGACACTCGGGTGATATTTTCGAACGCAGCCCAAGCGCGTTGGAGTGAGACAAGCATTCTATGATTAGTCAATTCATAAAATTCTTTGTTCTGATTGGTCACTCAAACGCTTCGAAGCGTTTGTAGCGTCAAACGGACCGCAGCCTAAGGGCGCGTTCACACCTTGACGGAAAACCAGAAAGCGGAAAAGCAGTGGCCAATCACAACTTGCGCTGGTAGTAAGTAATACAAAAAGCTGAAATTGTCGACTACCGGCGCGAGTTCTGATTGGCTGCTGCTTTTTCGCTTTCTGCTTTTCCGTCAAAGTGTGAACGCGCCCTAATGCCTAATTCACACTGGACGCAGCAAGCATCAAGCAGCAACCAACCAGCAAAGCGTGACGTAATATTGTTACGTCACTGGCTAAGTTTCCACCGAGGGTTAGAGTTGGGTCAGAGTACAAGAACTGACCAACCACAGTCAAGCATTCCCCTGTCATTCGACTATGACAGGGGAATACTCGACTGTGATTGGTCAGTTCTTGTACTCTGACCCAACTCTAACCCTCGATGGAAACTTAGCCACTGTAAATATCGCCTCACGATTAGTTGCTTCTCCGCTGCTTGACGCTTGTTGCGTCCAGTGTGAATTAGGCATAAAGGTGCATTCACATGCAAGCGTCAAGCAGCAGAAGCAACAACCAATCAGCTGGACGATACGGGCAGTGGTGTAAAAAATATTTTTTACACCACTGCCCGTATCGTCCAGCTGATTGGTTGTTGCTTCTGCTGCTTGACGCTTGCATGTGAATGTACCTTTAAGAAGCATATTGGAACATGTTGGAGCATGCGACGCGAACAAACCTTCTGATTAGAGGGTTTGGTTAATGGCGTTTGTGCACAAGAAGCGTCATTAAACGGAGATTTGTCTAAAACGCGGATACATCCTCTCTACTTCATTCCATTGTCAGGTTTCGTTCTGAAGTAAACTGGAGTGAACTATCCTGACATTTCTGACCAGAGATAGTCGTGAAATAATAATCGATGATTGCTCTTGTTGCGTCGTGTTGAATTAAAGGTGCAATTTCAATGCGTCATCTGTAATATACATTCATCATGTCTGCTACGGCTATACATAAATTTATAACTTTTATAGGATTTATATCTATATTACATGCAGCTTATTCCGCGGCACAGCGTGAGTATCTGCATATTATTCTTTTAGTTTATCAGTTTATTACTTTCTTAGGTTAGAAGTGATATTAATATTATGATGAAATTATATCGTTTGTTTTTGTTTGACATTTTGTGCATTTAAAGTAAAGTAAGACACAAGTCGTAATCAAATTTCGGAAATGAAAATGAACAGTGTAACCAAAATGAATAACTTGATTTTTATAGATCGTTCCTATTTGCGAATCACTGAACAAGAGTTTACTACTTTGCCAATTGATGTAAGTTATAATTCATGATGGTTATTCTACAATGAGTTGGTAGTTGGAAATCTTAAGTCTTAACCAGTTTTAACCTAAATAGGTGACTGAGTTTTTGCATCTAGTTGTTAGTTGTACAATGAGTCATTTATCTCAACTAATGGAAAAAAATAAAGTCGAATTTGATCAGTCTTAAGAAAATCGATAGTCATACATAGTTGGCTGTTGGTCAACTTCACCGATTCACCGATAATGGACTTTCTACAATAAGCCATTAGTTATAAATCAGAAGCTAAAATTGATCAATCACAGTCGTCAATTTTTAGCTTCTGACTTCTGATTTATGACTAATGGCTTGTTGTAGAAGGCCCATAAGGCTTAGGACTTACTGACTACTGACTCATTATAGAATCAGCTTGATACTTGCTTCTCATAGAGAAAGCTAAGTTTTATTTCTATATAAAATATTCTATAAATTCCAACAAGCTGATAGGATCTTAGAAGATTACATGTTATAGAGATATGTTTTGCTGTTGCTATAGATTTTAATCCAAGGCATAGCCAGTTTATTTATCGTTATGTACGGCGTTATGTACATTGCTGGCGATTTCAAGGAAATCCGGGCAGTTGTCGATTTGGAGAATAAATCTTGGGAGACGCTGCGGAACCTACCATCCTTTCAAGTATTTAATCATCGTGGAAGATCTCTATCCCCAGAATACATCTCGGAGTAAAAATAGTATATTTTAATATCAAATCATTGAAAAAAGATAATAGATTCACCAACTTATTTATATTATTTGTTAAATCGCATTTAGTATAGCAAAGCTCTATTGAAATTTAGTATTATCAATTAATATAATTTACATTTGTTATATATTAAAATAAATAATTTATCACTTTAAAAAACCAAGTTACATATAAAGTGAAAACATTAACAAGATAATCTGATATATACATAGATATGAAATGTAATTATTTATTACTGAAAAGCAATCTGTAGCAGATTGTGATTTTTGTCTTCATATCAATTTACAGCCTTAAAATTCAAAACATGCGGCGTTTTGCATACACATTTTATAATTGTGTGACAGTAAATAGTGAATAAAAAGTCTCACAGTTTTTCTTATCGCATTTTTCATTTGTATGTTTTCCTCCTCTATTTTTTTCCAATATATTTATTTTTTATAAGAAAAATTAATTAATAGTATAGTAAAAGTGCATAATAGAACACGAGACATCACTTTTTCTGTTTCTTCTTTTCCGCCTCTGCTTCCTTTTCTCTTTCGATTTCTGTTACATATTCGCCTATGGTGTCTGTGTCCAACATCTAAAATTTTATATACATATATATATTATTATTACTGTAAATTTGTTTTACATGGATTTCTTCGATTAACATGTACAGTTAGATACAAGTTGCAATTATACCTCTAGCGGTTGTCCACGTCGCATTACCGCTATTTCCAGATTTTTTTGTCCAGATTGAACTACTTCAAGGAGCGCTCTGATAGCTAATTTTATACAACCCTTTTCTGTCGATACTTCTTCCGGGGTGTAATACTTCTCTAAGAATTCGTGTACAGTTTTAGCACTGCGACCTGTTGCATTTGCCTTTGTGGAAGAACAGATTGATATAAATTTTTAAGTATTAAAAATGACATTCAATTACCATTCAGCAAAAAATTTATAAAATCAGTCTTATCCATAAATACCTTCCATTCATAATATATCCCTGATGGCTCTGTTTGATAAAGATGTGGGACACCATCATAATCAAATCCAGCTAGGAGACAGGATATTCCAAAAGGTCTACGTCCGTTACTCTGTGTATATTTCTGTTTTAAGCCTGTAAATAATAACAATTTTAGTTTTCTGTTGGAGTGATGTATAGCTCCATATAAAAGCAATTGACTTGTAGTCAACAAGTTCCAAGTTTGATCTCGAACATGTCTTGGTTTTATATGAGATTGATTGGAAAATTAAGAGAAAAAAAATGAGTGAGAAAAAAAAATATATATATTAAGGTAGTGCGAAAAAAGTGAAGTTCCATCTTAATCTAAATTTAAAAACGTTCATTCTTTTGGCAGAACATAAAATATAATCCGATCTCATAAAGGCTTTGCACTTTTCTTCTTGGTATAATATTAACTGTTGTACACTATTACAGAAAAATTTGTAAATTTTAGTCATACCTGCAATATACCTTGTAATATATTCCAAGGTAACGGGATCTTCTACAGTTAATTTATGACTCTGGCATTCAACTTGTGCACGATTGATCAATACTCTTGCATCAGCGGTCAAACCTATTAAGAGAATTGGAAACAATTATTCCATTTGCAACATCCGAAAGCAATATTTATCTCTTTAAGCCTCTATTATACCTGCAAAGGCCATAATTACATGATCGTCCAACAGACATATTTTGCGCACTGTACGTTCCTCTTGTAATTTAGCAACAGACTTCTTCTCGACACCCAAGACTACTACATCTGCACCACGTACACCAACCTGCACTTACAAAAAATTGAAGCATAAGCAAACAAAGAATAAACAGCATTTTGTTTAGAATTTCAGTTGGAATTTTTAAATTCTTTATAACTAGAAAAATGACATGGATATAAATGTTTTATTTCTATGAATAGAAAGCCAGAATGTGACATGCCAAAAACGATAATGCTGAGATGTATAAATAATACAATACACATATATATGTATCAGGGTTGGGTAAGTTAATGTTTTTTTTAACTGAATAAAGTTAATGGCTTTACAAAATTAATATTGAATTAACTTAAGTTTAAAAAAAGTTAGTTTCGAAAAAAAATATTTTTAAGGTCAAAATATCCTAATTTTTCTTAAAATGAGATTAAATAATAACTACAATATAGATTATTAAGTAAATTAAATTTTTACTTTTTTTATTCACATATGATGACATAATTTTTTAGGTTTTTACTTTTTAATAAGCCTTAAGCCTCATAAAAAATGGACCAATTACAATCAAATGTTCTCCTCGCATTCGATTGTAATGGTCAATTTCTTATGACTTAAGGCTTAAAACATCTATTGTAGATCCGGAATAAGGTTTGTGGCATAAGGCATAAGTCAATCAGAAGGCTGTATTAGCATCTTAAGAAATTACTTAAGATGATCTTAAAATTTGAACGGATTACGAATATACATCCTTAGTCTTATTATATTTTATTATTTTTCTAAGGCATTTAAAAGAAATAAAAAAAATTTTTAACTTAAAGAAAGTTAAAAAGTTAACGTTTAAAAGTAACTTAGTTAAGTTCAAAGTTATTAACTTTTTAAGTGTTTTTTTTTTAACTTTTAACGATTTAACTAGTTACTACCCAACACTGATAAGTATATATACATATATATGTGTGTGTGTGTGTGTATATATACACCATATATATATATATAAAACCTAACCTAATAAAGGATTCGCAGAGTCATGTACAAAGTAGATGAATAAAGTTAGTCAATCATAACTAAAATTCTTCATGCATGACAACAATTAGACTGGAAATCGACGGATAGACGAAAGAAAACAGTGAAACACATGAAAGACTCTTTACTTCAGGAGAAAGAGAGGTTAGGAAAATCGAACTGTTCAACATACCGCCGTCGAGCCTTTCTTCACTGCCTCCTGAGCGTATTCCACCTGGAGCAGATGCCCGTCTGGTGAAAAAACCGTGATCGCTCTGTCGTATCTCGCCGACATTATTTCGGCTGTCTAAAATATTCACCGTCCTGCAGGAAACTCAAAATGACTCCACCGTTTTCCGAGCAGTCAATCAGCACCCACTCATTCGGCTCGTTCCGGAATCGGCACTCCGGACGCGAACATGACAACGCATTTCCCTAGAAATGTACCGTGTGTCATGTGTGTCCCGGATTGGACGAACGGATCCTCATGAAACGACAACGCGACGTTCCTATAGGCTCTATGACTACGTTTACACGGTTCGATTTACGCCGAAGTTATAACATTGATGTTACGAAATTGACCAATCACAGTCATTTCATTCTTCAGAAAAATGGCTATGATTGGCTAGTTCCATCCTCCTAAAATGGGTGCATCCAGAAGCACGACTGCTCATTGAGAGCTCTTGTACCTGTTTGGTCTATATTTTTAGCTCTAATAGAATATGCCAATCAGATGTAAGAGCTCAGCAAGCGATCGTGGTTCTGGATGCACCTAATGGCTGCGTTCAGCAGACTCAACAGTTTTGCAACCGTTTTATGATTGTTTGCCGAGATAGGACCATTCTTCTAGATCTAAAAGTATGATCCAATTAGCGCGAAGGAAACTTCCAACAGTTGCAAAACAACCGTTCTGCTGAACGCAGCCAATGGGCGCATTCAGCGGACACAACAATTGAGTGAGCGCTCGATGTTATTGGTGTATTCTTTTAACTCATCCAATCAGAATTTTAGATCTAGAAGAATACACCAATAGTAGCGAGCGCTCACTCAACTGTTGAGTCTGCTGAATGCGCCCATTGACTCCTATCAATGAACAATATTCTGAGAATCGATTGTGGCTGTGTTCCAAATTCACTGTCAGCACTGAAAATGCAACAGTTTACGTTACGTGCACTGTAGATTTTCAATACAGACAGTCCATTTTGGAACATGGCCTGTGTACGTATCTTGAATTGTGAAACTTACAACTAACACTTCAGTTGTCAGTTTAGTTAAATAAAGTGAGTGGAGACGGGGGCAAATTTTTTTATAACACAAATATTTTGTCCTTCTACCAAATATTTATTCGATATGATTTCCTTTAATTGCAATCACTGCGTTATTGTATCACACTCAGCAAACATAATAGTGATTAAAAGAGAGTCGCATTTTTTTTTGGCGCATACTGTATATGTGAATGATATTGAAATAATTACATTAAGTATTCATATAATTATATGTGTTAACTACACATATGATTGACTATACTTTATGTAATGAAGAAAATTATACATACTTAATCAAAATATGCATATAAATATATTGTACGTAAAATATACATAATTATACTCTGACAGCCCGTACGTGACGTAGCAAGCATGTCACTGTAATGAGCTAATTGTTGCACGTTATGTTAGGTCTTATAATAGTTAATATTCGAAATATGATTGACACGCTGTCATATATTCTATGCAATGTCTCTGTGATGTAATGTGTGTTAATAAAAATATTTTATATTAAAAATGTAATTTAGTTTCAAAGTATCAAAAAGGCACTCAGAAAATACAATACGCAGCTAATTGAAGTCAAATTATTTTTTTTTACATAGCGGCGACATGCAAAAGACTTATCAGATTATTGCGGACTTTAAAACGAAAATAGAACAGGGTACCTATCATGGAACATGTCGGAATGAATTCCGATCGGAATCCATTCCGACTTTGTTCCATGATAGGTACCCAGATCTCTTTCACGTACATTGCTATTAGAGTATTTTAAAAATCTGATTTTAACTTAAAATCTAATCGTATAGAGATATTTGAAAAGCATATTTAAGGTAATTATAAATATAAAATTAGATTTAAGATTATATTCGTATATTTAAGAGATATTTAAATTATTATATTCGTATATTTAAAAGGTTATATTTAAGAGATTTAAGATTCAAACTGAATCTTGTTTATAATGAGATATTAAATATGAGATTGGATTACGAATATTTGTCCTGCGAAGATGATCTCTTGAGAATTGATAAAATTCTGTTTATGTAACATGTTTTGTGCACATCCAATTAGTAAAGAAATATTTTTTAAATATCTAAAAAAATAGTTTTAGC